TGGGGTCTTTTCGGTAGGCGTTACAGTGCTCTCTCTCAGAGGCTGCTCCCTGGGTTCATCCTCTTCCTCGGCTCCTTTACAAGGTGTACTCCCCACGATGGATGCTCACACACCTCAGCCCTCGGCAGTGCAGGTCCCCACGCGGGCACCCACTCATGAGGCCAGACCCCAGCACTGCCCCCAGCGTGGGTCAGCAGGGGCTCAGTGGGACAAGGGAAGGTTGCGCCATGCTGATCTTCGCTTTAACAGCCCACCCATCCCAGCTCCCCTTCAGGATGGCATGTCCTCACACGTCTCTCCATGCGTAGGAGCCGGCAGCAGACAGCGGGAAAGCTTCGGCAGAGACGTCGGCAGTCCTGGCACGAGGCTACGCCGCTTGAAGCCACCCAATGCAGGCAGGACACAGCATCTCGGCACTGCACCTTGCTTCGACTGGAAACCAGGTGTCGCGCCCGGCTCGTCTTGAGGAGACACAGATGGAGAGAGACGTGGCAAATCTCCCCTCGCATGGCAGCAAAAAAGGAGTAGCTTGCTAGCTGCTTTCCTGGTGGGAGGGTGAGAGGAGGGAGCCTGAATTTTAATAAAGCTCCTATAAACGCAGGGATGAGCGCGGGATCCAGTCTCAGCCGTGGCTATCTCCGTGTTGCAAATCCACACATGTCGGGCTGGTGAGATGTGTCTCTCCTGGGGTGCTGGTTGGGCTTTGTTTGCTCACACTGGGCTCCTTTCAACCCTCAGATCAAAATCATAACAGAACCAAATTGTTCCCTCCATGTCGTTGTCCATCGACAGTGAACAACGGTAGGAGCTAGAAGCCAGCAGCGGGGAGAAATGGCTGGTTTGTTCTTGCACGGTGATGGCCAGACTGTGCTCGGTGGACGCAGCGAGGAGGTGAAGCCACGCGAAGCTGTGCTGCAGCGGCACTGAGAGCACCCGTGGAGGGGCGAGAGCCTTGATCTTCCATGGGGCCCAGGCTCCAGCTCTACCCCCCCCAACCACTCCAGACCCACCAGGAGGGAGGGAAGGAACTGAGATGGGTCTTTTGTAGGTCAGCAAATGGCCAGGGAGAGACTTGGAGGGAGAAGAGAGGTTATGGGGGAAACAACAGGAAAGGTGAACCTGTTGAATGCACCTTTGCTCAAAAGTCAGAGAGGTGCCTCCACCTTCTGTCCCTGGGGACTGCTTTTGGGTGACTCTGCTCTTTCTCCATCAGCAGACAAAAGATGCGGCATGTTGAGAAACAGGGCTTTGAAAACGCGGGGACTGGGCTCTGTCCCACTGGTGGCCTTGTGCCCAGCCAGGACCCGTGACTGACTCTGGGGAGGGAGATGGGAATGAACGAGGCCAATATCTGACGCACTTCCTCAGCCCCATCTTCACCAGCCTCCAGCACTGGTGGCCATGCAGGGGACACGAGACACTGGGGCTGGCTGATTTCTGCAGCTGTTTCTCTGCTCTGTCCCACCTCCTTGGGCAATGCTACAGCAAGATGAGTCTGGACGTACTCACCAGGGACGTCAGCAAGTTGGCCAAAGCTGGGGACAATTGCTGTAGCCCTCATTCCCCAGCTCCTAACCCACGATGGGGACACATGGCTGCCATCCCCAGGCAGCAGCGTTCACCCTCACCCCATAGAAGCAAGAGAGGCCTGGCTGTGCTGGACTTGGGGGAGAGAAATGCAGCCGCCTGCATTTATTTTGCCTAACAACAGTGATCTCTCTGTGTATTTTCATTCTGTTTTCCTAGGCTCAGCTGCCTCCTCAATGAAATATTTCCAAAGCAGCCTGGCTTGGCAGCACGCCAGCCCCGGCTGCCAGATGAATGGGCGGAGGAGGAGGGACCCATTCCTCTTCTTGACACAGCATCACTGCACAAGAGGCCTCTGTTGACATTAGGACTGGCTGTTCCCCCTCTCTTGAGAGGCTCTGCCTGGCCCTCGGCAGGAGCAGCACACAGGGCCAAGGCAGCAGGCTGTGTGTGATGTAGGACTGGGGTCTGTCCTCCTCTGGAGCGGTGGCAAAGCCACGGACACCAGGGTACCATGGTGCATCTTCCTCTGGGGCGATGGCACTGCCACAGATACCAGGGTACCACGGTGCATCCTCCTCCAGGGTGGTGGCACAGCCGCAGACACCAGGGTACCACAGCGCAGCACTGCCAGGACCTGAAATCAGCCCCAGTTTCTTGCCCTGGACCCTCCCCTGCTGAGCCAGCCCCCCAGCTGCTGAGCACTCCTTGGAGCTCTCTGACTCCTACTAACAGCATTATTCCCCCAGACATCAGCGATGTGAAGAGCCTGTTAACTCCCCCAAAATACCTCTCCTCCAGGCTGCTCGGAGCAAAGCTCTGCCTCAGCATTGCTGAAGCGTAGACACCGACACAGGTTTTGAAGAGCTCCAGGTCTCCAGCACCTTTCAGGGGGGAGCAATGCCATGGGGGCCCGAAGCCCAGCACCCCCAAACCCTTCAGGCCTTTGGACAATAATGTATGGAGCAGCATCAACTTCACCCTAAACCCTGGCCATTACTCAGACATGCAGGACTTCACCCAAACAGTGTCACCGCTCTTTTCCATGCCTCAATTTCTCTACCCAAAGCAAAATACCAACCCAAATCTTCAGGGCTAAAAATTCATCTGCTGGGAGGTAGCCAAACGGTAGCAGTGCAGCACGGTGCCACTGGACTACCCACCCAGCACCAGACGTGATCCCTCTATCTGCCACTGCTAATTGCAGATCTGGCCATCAGCAAGGGAATGCAAATCTGTGTGTGCCCCACTCGTTGCAATGTCACCTACTTGCCAGGGACACCTTTAGGATCTGTGCAAGGAAAGGATGTGAAATTCAATGAAAGGGCTGAGAAAGCATCAGAAGGCAAAAGAAAGAGATAAAAGTCATCAGCATCCTTCCAGTCTGCACCTCTCCCCCCCTGGCAACTCCTGCTGGCAGCCAGCACCCAGCTGCTGCAAGCTGAGGACCAGAGGCTGGGTCAGAGCAGCACCCAGCAGGGACACAGACTGCTCCCACCAGCTGTGGTAGGGAGAGGGCTCTGCCTGGATCTGGTGGAAAAGAGGCCAACCACGCATCGATAAGATGAATTGGTTGTCTCAGCAGCACCAGCAAAATGAGCGAGAGGAGCGGAGCCCGTGAGGCCCGGCCTGCTTTGTTTCAATTACAGCAGCTGCCAGAAGAAAAAGATAACCTCAATATTGATGGCAGGAGCAGCAGACAGAGGTGCCCTTGTGGACTGCTGGGAGCAGGTAGAGGAGGAAGGGGGAGGAGGAGGAGGAGGGAGGGAGCAAGAGAGATGGAGGAGGGGAAGCAGAGTCTCAGCCATCGCCCCGGGGAGAGCCTGGCTGGCTCCCATGGGCTGGTGAGAAAGACCCACCTGATCCCGTTGCCCTTGTCCCCAGGAGGAACAGCTCCTCTTCACCCTGGCTCTTGCCCCAGTCGTTGGGCAGAGCATCCCCCCGCAGAGACAGGGCGGAGGAGTGCAGCCTCCCAGGACGTGGGGCAGAAAGTCAGCTCAGGGCATCATCAGCAGGACACACACCGCAGCATGGCACCGCATAACACGGAGCAGAAAAACCATCTCTGTGCTCCCCACTCAGGCTGTTGGGCCCAAAGAGGAGGTGGAGAGCTCAGGGGAAGCGTTGCATGGGGCTGTGTGGGATGATGGATGGAACTGGAGTGAAGGGCTGCGGGGCTGAGACAGGCGTGGGGGTGGCCTGGGGTGCAGGCAGGCACAGCTGCCTGCCAGGGATGCAGCACCCAGCTGCTTGAGTGCTGGGCAGCCCCCAGCACCGTGCGCGCAATGGGGACCAGGCTGGGCACTGGGAACAAGATGCCCAAGGTGACCTTGGACTGCATGTGGGAACTTCAGCCCCACGACAGCAGCTCAGGGCAGGCACCTCAACATTGCACCTACAAGCCAGGGATTCAGGTGCCGAGCCTAACGTCCTCCTGGCAGTGCAGGGTTAATGCCCTGCCCTGGGGAAGACTAAGCCCTGGGTTCACATCCTGGCAGGAGGTAACCAGAAGGTATGAAGAGATGGGGTCTCTTCGGTCTTCAGCCCCTTTACCGTCCAGTCTCTGAACAGAAGGCTTTATGGGGTCGGCGTCCAGCCCCAAGTCCCTCCCTGTGCCAGGAGAAATGCCCAGGGCCAGCCCAGCGCTGAGCGAGCCTCCCACCCTCCCTGGGGAAGGGGTCCCACCAGAGCCCAAGCTGAGCAGGGGTCGCTTCACAGAGGTTTTATTCGTACTCTGGATCTGCATTGCCCTCCGATCTCACTTCTCCCCAGGAGAGACCCCAGGATCTTCACCCCCGTCCTCCCAGGGCTGTGGGCCCTGGGTACAGCCCCTCGGTCTCCAAGAGGGGACAAGGCCACCATCTTGCGGCCACCCATCACCACTGCACATACCCGTGCGCAAGGCTTGGAGGGTCCCCAGGATGTGACAGCTATGGGGGTACAGGGTTTAGACCATGGGGAGCTGCGACCTCCCGGCGGTCCTGGTGCCCCCATCCCCTGGGATCAGGTCCTGCGGGGCACACGCTGTCCCTCCCCTCGCTCCCCGGACAGGACACCCAGGGGTGCCCAGACACCCAGGGCATGCTGGCCGTGCTGCTCCCATCCCAGTTCTGGCCCTTCCACCCCTGCCCTGCTGCTCTGTGCAGTGTCAGCCAGCAGTGACCGGGGACCTCCCAGTTTGCACGGCAGGCTTCATTGAGCACGGAAAGGCAGGCGGCAGCAGAGGAAGGCTCAGAACCGAGCTCTGGGGCTGAAAATGCAGCACCTCGAGGGGTGTGAGGCAGATTTTCATCCCTGGTCGCAGCGTGGGAGTACGACCCAGCTGGGGGATGCTGGAGGGGGTTGTTATACCAACGCTGCTGGTGACCAGCAGCCCAAAGCGAGTCCTTTCATGCCTCTGGGAAGCGAGTTGGCGTGGTCTGCACACTACTGGGTTCTTCCGCAAGGCTGCCCAGCCTGGCTTAGTGCTCATTTCCTTCCTTCTGCTTCTTCCCCTCGTGATGGGGCTGGCTGTGGTCCCCATGGTTGCGGTGAGCATGGGTGGCAGGTTCACGGTCCCCACTCGGGTCTGTGGCTCTCTCGCTGCTGACCTTCTGGTGGTGGTGAGGATGGAGGGGGTTGTGCTGGTGGATGGGGGTCTCCAACTCCTTCCCCTCTTGTTCGGGAAGCGGGCTCAGGGTTACAGGGACCTCCGTGGTACTGTTAGCCTGGGGAAAGTAACACAAGGGCTGGTGCGGTATGTGACTGCACACATGGCCCCAGAGCGAGCCTGCGAGCGTGCCTATGAGCTGGGATGGAAGCAGACCAGCATCCGTCATGCAGAAAGCTGTGTGGGTCAAAGCAAAGGCTCTCCAGCCCCAGCTCCAGGGTGCAGGGAGGACAGGAGAGACTAGAGCACATAGAGCACAAGTCTTTGTAACTACATCCCTTGGCTCAAGCTGTCTGTGGTCCAGGGATTTTCTGAGCCAGGAAAGGGACTTTGCATTTAGTATTTCTAGATGGATTTTTCTCCTAGAAAGTGACTAATCGCCTGCTGAGCCCGGAGCTACGTCCTTTTCTTTGCTCTGAGCTTACCACCTCTGGGTCCATTGCCTGCTCCTTTCTTGTATCAGGACAGCCAGCTACCCTAGTTAGCTTTTCCAGACCTCGGCTATGACCCCTTTAGTCCGTTCCTTCTCAACCTGAAAGCTCTGACCTATTTAACTCTCCTTATTCTAGACCTTTCATCACCTTCCTTCTCAACCATGGACGAGGACACCTGCCAACCCAGAGCCTGTCCCCAACATGAAGATAAGGTTGTTTTTTTCCTGATGTGTAATGCCAGAGGAGAGAAGGGAGCCCCGCTCTGGAGAGCATCCCTGCTCCTTACCTCCTGGGTGGTGTTTGGGTAGAGGGAGCAGTTGCCACAGAAGTCCTTGCTGTGGGTGAAGCGGATGGCCGACTCCACATAGGGGAAGTGGAGGAAGCTGTAGGGCAGCTGGATGTGGAAAGCCAGGCGGCCGCACCTGCAGGGAGAAGCCGTGGCCTGGCTCGAGGCGGAAGGTCTGGGGTCCCCCCAGCCCAGCCCTGGGGTGAGCTTGGGAAGCCCATCAAACGCTCCGTAAGCCCCCAGGAAAGCCACAGCCGAGATGGGGGACACTCACCGGTCGTAGACGAGGAAGTCGTCCTTGTCACCCCCCAGGACCTGCCAGACGTCGGGCTCCTCCGGCTCCGGCTGGAAGACGGGGACGCCTGGCGGGGCCTGGTGCTCCAGCTCCCCAAACATGGCACGGGAGAGCGGAGACTTCTCGTTGACAATCATGTAGCGAACATCGACCGTGCCCTGCCGGGCCAGCCTCTCCCGCAGATCCCCGAGGCTGCGGGGAAGGAGGTGCTGGGATGGGGGGTGCTGGGATGGGGGGCCACGATGCCATCCCCCAAGGTGGCAGGGCTGGGTTTGGGGTAGGGGGAGCAGGGCTCACCTGTGGGCCTGCTGCAGGCAGAAGTGTCAGCTGGCCTTCAGCAGGGCCACCACCCCCACCTGCCCCGCCGCCCCCTCCATGGGGCTCAAGCCATTGACACTCCATGCCGGTGCCTCCCGGCAGAGCCGGCTGCTGTTGGCCACCTCCTCGGATGCTGAGGCCAGCCCCAGCCAGGCGGCCAGGGCCAGCACCACCAGCCCCATCCCAGACCCCCGGCCCTGGCAGTGGGAAATGGGGTGTTAGTGTCCCCTCTGCACTGGGGCTCAACCTGATGGGGTCCTCCCAGCCCCACTGCAACCCCAAACTGCCTCCCCACACAACCCTCTGGGGCAGACAAAGACTGGTAGGCGGTATCATACTGGTCCCAGTACTGCACTGGGAGCCAGGACACCCGCACCAGCGGGGTGAGGAGAAGGGGGTGAGGTGGGGGGATTGGGGTGCCCAACTCCTGACAAGCACAGCACCCTTGCTGCTGGCTTTCATGGGCACCCGCTGTGACTGCAGGGTGCCCCAGTCTCCCCCAGAGGCAATGCACCCACTCTAGGCATCAGGGGATAAAGGTCCCACCCCGCCCAGGGGCCTTCTCCACCTCCCCAACCCCAAAAGTCACACCCAGCCACGGCCAAGGGTTTGTCTTTGCCCCAGGGGTGGGCAGGGGTGCAGCCCCCATCACTGGAGGGGAGTCAGTGGGACAGGGGTGGTTTCACCTTCAGGTCACCTTGAGAGTCCTTGATGCCCCACAAAGCTCTTGAGGGGTACACAGAGCCTTTAACCCCCCTGCCCCCAATATGTGCCTGAAGCCCCTTCTTCCCACAGCCCCCTAACCCTGCCCATCCCAAGATACACCCTCCAGACACAGATCCCTCCAGAATTAACGAGCAGGAGGAGGACATGGGGCTGGGGGGGATGATCCAGGGAGGTGGAGAGGTAGCAGGGGACTGTGGGGTCTGCTCAGGATGGATGGACGAACCCCCAATCACCAGCCCTCTCCCTCGCGAGAACAAGCCCTCAATACCGCACTTCTCCTCACTGTCGTCCTCCAGCCAGACCTCGCTCCCAGCCCCAGCGGCTCTTGGCAATGCCCAGCTGGCCCTCGTCTCCCTTTTATCTCCTGTCCACTCTCCCCGCCCAGGAGGGAGGAGAAGAGCCCAGCTGGAGCGGGGACTGTGGCCCGGCCACCACTGCCTGCCGCGGGGGACGGCAACAAGGCAGGCACTGTCCCCCTCGGTGCCACGCAGCTTCGGGGTCCTGCTGCGACAGCCCGGCCCGAGCCATGCTCGGGCAAGCGGTGCCTGGTGCTGGGCTGGCGCAGGGGGTGACAGGCGGTGCCACGGGGAAAAGCCAGGCACGGCCACTCGAAACCCCCCCACAGGCACAGGAGAGCCGGCAGCATTGCCAGGAGCACCACTTCCACCAAAGGGCTGCAGGACCATGAGGTGACATCAAACAGTGCCACCCATGGACAAGGTCCCCAGGGAGCTGCCAGTGCAGCCTCTGTCACCCTACAGCCAAAAAGACAGGTGCCTGCCCCGCACCCCTGGGATGCCGGAGCTCCCTGCCCTGCAGGGTGCCACCCCAAAGGCTGTGCCGTCCTGCCGCGTGGTGCCACGGCCACTTTTGGGCCGTGCTTGGCCCCACAGCAAGCCCCGGTGTCCAGTCCCGTGCCTCCTGCCCAGCCCTGCGCCCGGGGGGCTGTGGTGGAGCCGGGGCTCCCTTGGGAAATCACAGCGCCGGGGGATTCCACCCCCCCAACCAAACAAGAGGAGCTCAACACTTTGGCCGCACGTGGACATCTCTGCAAATATTTGAGCACTTTATCGTACCTGGGCTCTGTACAAAAACATGATAAGGCAGGGAAGGGGAGCAGACACAGACACAACTGGGGCAGCGACGACACGAAGGAGGGGGGGATTTGTCCGAAAACAACCACAAGCAGCAGGGAGAGAGGGGATCGCTGCTGCGGGGCTGGAGGGGCTCAGGAATCTCAGCAAGAACACGGGGCCATGGGCTGGGATCGGGGAGCAGGCGCAGCTGTGCGGGGTCAGCCTGGAGCAGACCCATCCTGTGACCGACGCTGGACCCGCCGCAGAGCTGTTACCCCCCATCTGCACGCTGCTCCCCCCAAGTCCCTGCCGCGTACCCTGGGTAACATGAAGCACCCAGCACTGAGCAGGGGCACGTATTCCCCGCGGCATGCCCTGCCCCGATGGGACTCAGGCTGGCAGGGAATGACCCAGCACAGACATGAGCCATTCCATCACCGGTCCCAGGGGATCCTCAGCCACCGCCTGCCAGCCGGTTCGTCTCCTCCCTTTGCTCATCCCTGAGCCAGCAGCTGCGGTGCCTGCGGTGCGGTTATCAGCCTGGGCAGCGTTTTGTTCTGCAAACACAACCCAGCACCTCTGGGGTCGACACAAGCTTTTGGCACCTCCAGCGTCTGGCAGCCACACATCCCTGGCTTTATACGTGCCGGGGCAGCTCCCATGCCACACCGGCACGGCCTCACGCCACGTGTGCCAGTCCCGTCCTTGCCCAGGACGGCACCCACCGATTCCTCCCGCCGGGGAGGCTTCCCCATGGCGGTGCAGGTTGCTTTGCAGCTTCCCTGGCATCACCAACCCCTTTCCCCGTCCCGCCATGGCCTGTTGCATGCTGGGGAGGAGCAAACTGAACCGCCTCTCCGGGGCCGGCTTGGCCCGGCCCCTGGCCCGGCATCCCCTTCGCCCAAAGCCTTGACCCCGGTGAGCCGCAGGCCGAGGGCAAGCCGGGGCCCTGCAGGCCCCCACGGGCACAGGGGGTGGCGGGATTGGGGGTGACGGGGCGGTGCGGTGGGAGAGCGCGAGCAGGACCGATGCTGATCCCGCGGGGCGCAGCGGCGGGGAAGGAGGGCAGGGAGGGAGGCAGCGCCGTCCCCTGCCCATGTGCTCACCGGGGCAGGGGCCCCAGGCAGGATCCCCCTTCCCCGGGCTGGTGTGGAGCAGCTGGGGGTCCCAACAGGGCACTGCTGGGCCCCCTGCTCCCCCATGGCAGGTGGGGTGCCTGGGTGCAGTGCAGCCTGTCCCCCCCAGCCTGGCAGAGGCTCAGTGCAAAGCTCTTTTTTGGGGGGGGCAGGGGGGGGCAGGTGGAAAGGAATGATTACGGTCTCCCCCCACCCCAGTGCACCTCTGCGGGGTCCAGCCAGGGTGGCTGGTGCGTGGCACGGGGTCAGGAACCCTCAGTGGGGTGCTCTTGAGAGGTGACACCGAGTGGGTTTTTGGACAGATCTTTTTTTCCCCCTTCAGTGTGACGGGTATTTGGGTTGGGGGGAGGTTGCTTTTCCCACAGTGCCCCTCCTGTTTCACCCTCCCTGCCCCTAGGGCAAGGTCACTGCCCCAAGCCTGTTGTGGGGAGTGTGGTAGCTCCACGCTGTCCTTGTTGGGGAGGGGAAGGGCACATCAGCCTGCCATGACCCCACTGCTCCCCCCTGCCATCTGTGGGACCCCACTGACAAGGGCTGGGGCGGCACAGGAGCCTTTTAGCTGTAACCAGCAGTTGCTCTGTGTTTACCAGTCCAACCTCCATGTTCCTGGTTGCCGGTACAGGACGTTCCCCCCCACAACCCTTGTCCCCATAGTCTTGCTTACACATGCACGCCCGCCTCCTTCACCTGGATTTCCCTGCTAACCTCCCTGCAGCCCCCTCCAGGGACACACGGCTCCAGAGGGGACCCGCTGTGGCCAAGGCTCAGGGCTTTCCTCCTGTGTGACCCCAGGCGCGGCCGTGGGGCAGGGCAGCATAGCAAAGGGGTGGCAGGATGGCTCGGCATCCTTGGGCAGCTTTTTGCAGCTGGTCCCAAAGGTCCCTTGCACAGTGCGTATCGGCTTGTGAGACCCAGTTATTTAAAATACACACATTTAAGGGGTGCAAATTTACATGCGTGTGCATCTGTGCATGCAAATACTCGGGCTCCATGCAAGGTGGGGGAATGGCTCCTTCCCCCAGCCAGCAAGCCCCCCCCTCCCCGTGCCTTGGGGGAATGGCTCCTTCCCACAGCCAGCAAGCCCCCCCCTGACCCCGTGCCTCCTCCCCGCAGCCTGCCCAGCCATGGCAGCCTCGCTGAGCCGCCCCTGCTTCATCTCCCTCCACATGCCCTACAGGCAGCGCTGGGCCCAGGACCTGGCCGCCACCTTTCGCTTCCAGCCGGTGGCCGTGCGACAGACGCCGTGGGTCCGGCAGCTGGCCTTGCGACGGGGATCCGCTGTCTTCCTCATCAACGAGCGCCTGGCACCGGGGCCCGCCGGTGCCTCCTCCCATGATTTCCTCTATGATGTGGACCCCCGGCCTGCCTTGGGTACAGCCTCCAACGTCTGCTTCGAAGTGGATGATGTGCCAGGGCTCTGCAAGCGGCTGCAGACCCAGGGATGCTCCCTGCTGGTGCCCCCCACCGAGGTGAGGGATGATGGCGGCTCTGTCACCTACGGGGTGGCGAGCTCCATCGTGGGCAACATCAGCCATACCCTTCTGGACCGATCCCGCTACCAGGGACCCTTCCTGCCCGGCTTCCAGCCCATCCAAGGAGCCCCCTCGGCCATGGGGGACGGGATTGAGATCACCCACTTCGACCACATCACGTATGTCTGCCCACGGGGTGGCACCCGGGCGGCTCTGGACTGGTACCAGCGCTGTTTCGGCTTCCACCGCCTCCCTCTGGACCCATGAACCCACGGGAGAGGCCAGCTGAGGGGTACGTGGTTGGTGGGCAGGGGGTGGGCATGCTGCTCCTCGCACTGCAGAGTGCCCAGGGCGCCCTGGCGCATGGCTGCAAGCTCATCCTCGCCGAGTCCCTCTCCGAGGACGGCACCAACCAAGTTGACACCTTCCTAGAGCAGCATGGTGGAGCCGGGATCCAGCACGTTGGCCTCCGCACCACCGATATCGTCACCACGACCAGGGCTTTGCAGCAGGGGGGTGTGCGGTTCTTCACGCCCCCCCCCGCCTATTACAGCCAGGGGGGCAAAGCAGAGGAGATCCAGGGGGCCGGGCAGGACCCCCACACGCTGGCAGAGCTGGGCATCCTGCTGGACACCACGGTGCCCGGGGACAAGAGCCGGACGGGTGCTGATGCCACAGAGAGCCCTTCACAGGAGTATTTGATGCAGATCTTTACCCGTCCCATCTTCTCCGAGGAGACCTTCTTTCTGGAGCTCATTGACCGGCGGGGAGC